CACCCCCCTGCCAGCCTCAGAAGCATGGGAGAAGGTGGGGTTGGAGGGACAAGCTGCCCAACCACCTGCCTGTCTGCATCCAGCAGAGCACACTGCCAGATCATGGACTGACCTGGGAGCTGCTGGGCGTGGGGAGCAGCTGGGGGAAACCGCTTGCCTGTGGGATGCTGGGGTGCCCGGTGCCAGGCAGGAGGAGAAGTGATTGTTTTCCTCCTGGCACGGGGGCCAGACACCACAGCAGCCTTGGAAGGACCCCAGTTGAGAATCACTGCCCAAAACTGAATCGGAGAAAATGAGGCAGTCAATTTAACCGCATCATCCACAATAGGGGCACAGGTAGAAACTTGCAGGAAGATGATATTTTTGGTGAATAACAACTACTAGAATGAAGGCTGAAGACCTGTTACGCTTTGTAATTCAACCCTCCTGTATACAACCTTATGGAGCAGGCCACCTGCTTGGCAAAGAGACTGAACCAAACTTGTTCCTCTCACCCAGGACACTTCCAAAGGGCTGCTTCCGCAGCTGCTTAGTTGTTGACACAAGTACTATCACTCCTTAAATTGAGCACAGCCTGGGCCAGTTTTCCTGCATCCAGTACCTGGCTCGCGTCCGCTGGCTGACAGACCTTACTGTCTGTAGCGGTGCTACAGCTGAATGAGTCGAAGTCAACCGTTATATCTTGAACATTCCTTTCATTGGCATTGTCAAAGCTATTTTTACCATGTAGCTGTTTAAGGTGTTTCCTCAGGACAGGTTTATGTGCAAAAACCATGTCACAATAGTTACATTTATGGGGCTTGTCTCCACTGTGCAGATTTAGATGGTCCTGCAAGGAGCATTTCTGAGAGAATGTTTTCCCACAGATCTTGCACTGAAAAGGTTTGATCCCCGCGTGTACCCTCATGTGCCGGTGGAGATTGCCTTTCTGAGTGAACGTCTTGCCGCACAGCAGACACATGAACAGTTTATGCATTTTTAAGTGATTAGCATAGTTTTCCAGGTGCCGGAACACCCTGGTACATTTGGGACACTGATGATGCCACTGGAGCCCTTTGTCTATGCCTCGATTGTTGGGGCCAAACATCTCTTTAGAAGCCATCACGATATTGTCACCGCCAGCATAGGAAAGAGCATAGTTGTGGAGATGGTTCTGCTCGATTTCATTCGCTCGGTTTTCCACCGTGGAGTTGATTAAAAAGTGCTGTGGCTCGGAGGAATGCAAAGCAGTCTGTTCGGAAGAAATGAACGGGGCCGTGTCCTTTTTACTTCTGACCTCGGACACCTCCCCGATGGACTCGACCTTGACAATCTGGATGTCGCTGTCCTCCATGTCCAGGCTGTCTTCCGAGGGCTGAACGCCCGGCGAGTCCTGCTGCAGGGAGTCGTCCTCGTCGCCCGGCGGCTCCTTCAGCTCCGAGGAGTCGCTCTGCCGCTCACAGTCCTCCTTGCCCTCCAGCGGCTGCTTGGGCTTGATGAACTTCCAGAGGGCCTGCGTGCAGCGCTCCACGATGTGGCTCATCTGGAGGAAGCTGGCGGCCGTCAAGTAATTCACCAGCTCCATCTCGGGGAACTCCAGGATGCCGCTGTAGCAGGACAGCAGCAGCTGCCGGCCCACCTCAGAGCTCTGCAGGATGGAAATCTTCACCTCGCGGGAGTCATTGAGCAGGAACTGGTCGCGCAAGAAGGGGGAGCCGGCGGCAAAGACAATCTTGTGCCCGTGCACCTCCGCGTCGTCCACACGCACCACCACATCGCAGAACTTGTTCTCCTCACGCAGCCGGCTCATCTTCTGCAGCATCGAGTCGCCGTAGTTGTCGAACTTGAAGCGCAGCAGGTCGGCGCGCTCCGACATCCTGGCCCCACAGGCGGGACAAAGCAA